GCATGTTTCCTTCTCATTGGATTGCGATGATTGTATTTGTTATGAAAGTATAATAGGTTTAAGCTAGAGGATAAACTAGTTTTTGGAAGTCATGCTGAAGGATGATGTTGTTGCTTTGAGCTACCTTAGTATTCGTCTTTAGCAGTTGTTTGATCAACAAATTATGTTATATTTACAATTTTAAATTATTATATATATATATATATATATATATATCTGTTTTGTATGTATATTGATGAACTATTTACATTATAATTTTAGACTACAATATTTATGTTTTTTGCCGTTAGTTATTAAATTATAAAGTATAAAAACATGTTGAATTGTTATATACTTTATCCTTTAAAACTCACTCGCCCGCTTTAGAAGAGCCATATTTTGAAATAAGTAAATTAAATTGCACTTTCCCAAAATATTTAACCTATCATTTTAATTTTCTAATGTTCAAAATCATGAAATTTTAGTCGTTTCTATCAATTGAATACTAGTTAATTGTTAATTAACAATGATATGATATTAATATTAATATAAACTAACAATAAAAAGTGACGTGAACAAAATATAATTTATTTCAAAATGATAAAAAAAATGAATTTACAAAGATTATAACCGATGACCTTTATATAAACTCCATCTATTGAACTTAAAGCAAAATCCGTAATTTGATTTATTATAGAAAAAAAAGGGAAAAAAATACCTTTCCTGAATTACATAGCTTTGAATAAGTTGATATAGCCGTTAAATAGGACCAAATAGTTAATAATAGTTGGGGATACTGTGAAAGACTACAAATTTCTTTGTGGAATAATTACAGAATGCATTATTCTACTTATGCACAGTGGCTACTCAATAACTACATAGTTTTAAAATGTAACTAGAATTGGGTATGGAAATAGTTACACCCAGGTCATTGTTACGTATTAAAGGAACAAAAGGAATTAAAAATTAGCTACAAAATAACCACATTTGCATATATTAATTAGTTATTATATACATGATCATAATATTATTTACTACCAGGAAATTAAAACACGTTTTGTTATATGATCAAAATAAAATCACTCATTTTATAAAAGTTAAAATTTATTTATTTATTTATCAATAAAATATTATAATGATAATAATGATGAATGAATTTAAGTAGGATCGATCTAATATATTACTAGATCTAAAATAAAATTTTAGAATGAGATTTTTATTTAAAATTAATAATAATATTTTTGATAAAAAAATTAAAATATTTTAGAGTCAATCTTGAAAAATAATTATATTTATATATTTTTTAAAAATATATTTTTTAAAATAATTTTTTAAGAATGAAAAAAATAACTTTTATATTATAGAACTTTCAAAAAAAATTATAAAAGTATTAATATAAAATATTTTCTTAAGAAAGTCTAAAACAAAAGGTTTTATTGGCCTTATCTTTGGATCGACCAGAGTCTGGATCTCCTACATTTACTTCAACCTATTATGAATAGTTCAATATTAGTTATTTATTGAGATTTTATCTAATAATAAAAAATACGCAAATAACGTTTTGCATTTTTTTATTTGTAATTATTTTTGGATTTATATACATTTTATTCTTCAAGTATCATAATTGTCTAATTTTTTTGGTCTCTTGAATTTTAATTTACTGTTAACAATCTCTCCATAGGAATCGAAAACACAACCTTAACTTTGATATTGATTGTTGGATAAAGTTTTATTACTAGACCAAAAATTATATCCAATAATTAAGGTGTAACTCTTTCTATTTAATTGTAAGAGTCCAAGCGTTACATGTCTTGACTTGACCCGTTCAAGTCTATGAAATAATTGATGTTACCTAGTAAATAAATAACCACTATTCAAAATTTTATATATATTTATTTAAGCTTTTCAAAATAACCACAAGTCAGGAGAAATATAAATTTGAATAAAATTTATTTAAAACTATTTCTTAAAAGATTAGCTATTTTAAGAAGATTTTTATAATTTTAAGTAAATATAAATTAATATATATATATAGAGAGAAAGAGAGAGAAAAAGATATTAAAATATCTAAGAAAAATGATTATGAAACTATTTTACATCAGAATTTATTTATTTTTAATCTGTAATAAACTGACATAATACATGTTTGTCCCATCTCTACAAATTGCTCTTCTGGTTAGATCCACATAACAGATATAAATAGTAACATAATAAATTCTGTATGTCATAGTTTTCCCCCATTTGAAGTGCTATGTTTTTCACTTTTTTACCATCATTTGTATGATAGGTGAGAAATGATCATAATCAATTCTTAATGTAGCACAAACGGCTTGACTCTTTTTGTTGGCTGTTGCCTATTGGGCATGGAGAGTTCAGTTTGAGTCCCAAGTTGGAGCACATAGTTGAATTGACAAAAATAAAATTACATTGCAAGCTGACCAATTATACCTTTGCATGAGTGCTTCTCCAACAAGTTGCTTTGCAATGATGCTACAAGATCTTCAACATGCTATACTACTATCTTATCCTTCCATGCATGTTAAATCAACCCCCCTAGTGCCCATTTCCCACTTTTTCTCCTCCCTTCATAATTAATATTAATGCCCTCATAAAAATTATAATATTATTGCTTATTCTTTTTGTTTCAAAGTGTGCTTGATACTTATTTGATTCAACTCGTGCTAAATATTTGATAAACTCAAAATATAATTGCTTGATTGAATTCAACAACTAGATATATATGAATCATGTAACATATTTTCAAATTTAATTATGAACAAAATTAACTAACTTACATATTAATTAAGAAAATTATTTAACATCATTAAAAAAATTTAATTTCAACTAAAAATATTTTTTTTCTCTATATTACACTTCATCGGAACTGATATTAAAAATAAAATTCCAACTGTAAATGAAAATATTTTAGTAAATATCGATATTAACGCTTATAGAACTTTGAGGTCTGCTTTAATCTTAATGAATCTAAGATCTAACTCACATAAATTTATTCATGTATCAAAAAAGATATAACAATATTGTACAAGTAGGGGGGTTTGGCCACCACCCCATCGACCGCCGAATGGCAGAACCAGGAAGCCGAATGCCAATCGGCCACCAGGATCGGCCTACCATCATTTGGTACTCTTAATCAAAGATTAGGAGTTAATTAGTCGATTAAGGTGTATTACCTAATACGGTAAATATGTTGCAAGGCCCATGGGGTCCAGGACCCATAAATGTCAGTATAAATAGCTCAGGACAAAAGGTAACCTCACTGTTCATTAATTATCCTAGATATTCGTGCTTGTCCTGACTTGAGCGTTGGAGTGCCTTTTGCAGGTACCAACCCCTTCACCAGCGTATTGGATCGGAGCCTTTGTTCGGTCTTTGAACTACTAGAAGACTTAGTGTGCCCTTCATACAGGTACAAATATTAATTAAAATTTATGTATATCTCTAAGTTCACCGTAATATTTTTTTTTGTTATTATTTGAGTCCAGATGAAATATTTTGCTGCCAAAATATAATAGGACATTATTACTCTCGAGAAGTTTTAGGTTTTGTGCTAGAAAATTAAGTCTAATTTAAATTTTATACATATAACTAGTGTTATTGTAGTGTATAAATAATTATTTTATTAATAAAAAATATTATAATGACTTTAATTAAATCGAATTTAAGTTTGTAGTATGTTTCTCGGTTTTTCACTAGAGTAATCCTAATTCTTATAATACATAATATTTACTATATATTATTATTAGGGAGAAATCTCTATTTCTCTTTGTGATTTAAAACTTGGATCAAATCGGTCGGTCGGACCGGTTGGACCGGAATCAGTGATTTAGCCGGTTCGAATCTTAAGTTTGATCGGTTATGCAGTCGACCTGTTTTAAATTGGATTGAACCAGTCAATTTTCCGGTTCAACTGGTGAACTAGTGGGTCAAACTGGTTCAACCACTTTTTTTTCTTATTTTTTTTATAAATTTTTTAAGGAACCATAAGCTAAAAAAATAATAATGAAAATTGAATCTCTTAATGGAAAAGTAAATAGTCTTATTAAATATAACGATAACTACTTATTCTAATGTATTTTTTTATAATATATACAATTTAAATAACTTTTATAGTATATTACTAATTTTAAATTATATATTTAATAATATAATATCTATGTAGATATTACATATATTATTTTATAATATCAATTACAAGCATATTATTTATGTGCATATTATTTATATTTTTAATTTATATTAATATACAGTTTAACATGTAATTTTTTACGTATTTTTTTATAAAATAAAAATAAAAATAATTTTAAATAAGAAAAATTAAAATTTAAACTTGAAATGTCCCCTTTTCACAGCTTTCAGATCTTGTTAGAGAATTTTCAAGAAACAAATATCCTTAAAATGTCGATCTCCGCATGAGTTCATTCTTACCAAAATTTATTAGAGTTCAATTTCATTTAACAATCCAACTCACATTTCGTGATTATCCATCTCAAATGGATAAATTTTGATAATATAAAAAAATTAAGAATGACGTCTCATCATAAACTAATTTCATTGAGACAACTTTGTTTTATCAACCGTGACATGTAACAGTAATCCATCCCTTCATTAGTTCATTCTTGAGATTAAGATTGTAAACGAAGGTCATTTTTAATCTTTACCTTTTAATTTTTTCTTTAAAATTTTTAACCCATTTATTTCAATTTTACATATCAATAAAAATATTATGATAAAGAGCGTTTAGAAAAATCAGCAAGAACAGAATAGAAGTTTTATTTATTAGTCTGAAACAGTTGTAATTTACTGATAGAGTGATAATATAATTTTTTGTTACATTAATCAAGAAATCCGTAACCGTCATTTTCATATTAAAAAAAGGAAAAATAATTGCACGAGGGCAGCTCCAGTGAGCGCAGAAGCCGACGTATTTTCACATTAATTAATTTTCTTTCTTCATTGTGTGAATAGTGAATATAAAAAAGAAAAAAAGAGAGGCAGAAATAGTAACAGTTTCTCATTCTCTCTCTAAAAAAGAAAAATAATCTGACACAGATACACGCGCTCTTCTCTTTCTCCTCCTTAAAAAACACCGAAAAACAATGGCGGTTCTGTCTTCATTCGCTCCAGCATAGAAAGAGAAACAAAAAATGGTAAAAGCAATAGTAGTAGTAGCATAGTGCCACGACCAAGTCGCCGCCGAAACTTTGATGCCCATTTTCCGTTCTTAGAAAAAGTGAACCCGACCCGTTTATTTTTTTTTTTTTAAAAATCTCTAAAGGAGGTGTGTAGCACACACTGTTTTCCTGTCCCCTCCGAGTAAAAGGAACAAGTACCTACGTTTGTATGTAACCGTGGTCGTTTTCAGTTGTAACGTTTGCTGCTTCAGTTTTTTTTTTCTGGCTGTGGAGTGAGTGCTTGCGCTGATTCCCGAGTCCATTTTGCTCTTTTTTCCCGGCTTTGCTTGAGATCCGTTACCCTTTGGGATTCGTAGCTGCTCTGGCTGAGATCTGTTTACTTTTGGAGTTTCTTCGCGTGTTTGGTTTCTGAGTCGTGCTTGGTTTTTCGCGTAGCTGCTGATTTTATTAGAGTGGGGTTAACTTGCTCTTGGTGCGTGGAGCGTTGAATGATGAGGTGTTGGGTTGAAGATTGGAACTTGGGGTGGTGGGGGTTGGAAGCGAATGAAGGGCAGGAGTGAAACAATTGTGTTTTGTAGTGAGACTGGTGTTGGTTGAGGAGTGGAAAGGTGGGAATTTTCTGAGCTTTAGAATTGATGGTTGAGGGAATTCGGTGTCTGGGGTGTTTGAGTTTTGTTTAGATTTCAAATGGGTTTTACTTTTGGTTGGTGAAGGGGGGTGAAGGTGAAAGAAGAATGGTATTGTGGAGTAGGGAGGAAGAGAAGAAAGGGATTGTTGTTTGGTTTGGGGTGAAGCTTGTGGGAATTTTGTTGCTGCTAAATTGGTCTACTTAAGAGTGTGCTTGAATCATTGATTTTGGGGCTGGGTTCAAGGTTTGAAATTGCTGAAGCTTTACTGAAATGAAACTTTCTTCAGCTGGTTTTAGTCCTCCACCCCAGGAAGGTATGTGTTATGGATACTCTTGTTTGCATATTCTTCCACCATTTCCTCTCTCTTTCTGTTTTTCATTTCTATTTTTGGAACTAGTTATTTCAATTTTCATCCTCAGTCCTAGGGGATTATGATGCTCCTGATCGCTTATGGCATAAATTTTTATGTCTAACATGGTGGTGGTGCTCCCATGTTTTTGATGGGGAAGTGGGAATTTCACCTCTTGTGGCTACAGTTTCTCTTCTTTATGCTGTATCTCAGAGATCGGAAAAGGATTTGGTTTAATTTGCTGGGCACCCTCCTTTTGGGAGTTTTTTTTTTTTGTTTTGAGATCTTGGCTCTGTCAAAATCATTTTGTCCTTTGAGGCATTTAGGGGGGCAGTTATGAACTTTCTTTTCCATATTCATGACATTGGGATGGGATTTTGCAGGAGAAAAGCGAGTTTTAGATTCAGAACTTTGGCATGCTTGTGCTGGTCCTCTTGTTTCTTTACCAGCTGTTGGAAGCCGCGTGGTCTACTTTCCACAAGGTCACAGTGAACAGGTGAGGTAGATTATTGCACTCAGAGACAAATATTCTGGTTGCTATTTCTGGATTTTTCTTTTACTATGTAATTATGTATGTGTAAATTAATAAAATGAATCTTCAGCTCCTGGACATGAAGATGCTGTTTTTGTTACTTGCTTTCTGTATTGTGTTTGTGACACGAATTGGTTCTTTTGTCTTGTTTCTTTGTTCCATGATGCTGTGGGCTGCTAATCTAAGGGTGGGGTTACTTCTACACTCTTTGTAACAAAACTGGCCTTATTCTTTCAGTATGGTGATTGGTGATCCTTGTTACTAATTCATAACTCACTTTTAAGCACGATTCTTTACTCTTAAACTTGCAGTTTAATGAATTAGCTCTTAGAAATGTAATATCTCCTTCTACCACCCTTAAACCAGTTCATGAACTTTTTATGTTATTTTTCTGCTTAGGTTGCTGTGTCTACCAACAGGGAAGTGGATGGCCATATACCCAACTATCCAAGCTTACCGCCTCAGCTTATTTGTCAACTTCATAATGTGACTATGCATGTAAGGCGTGTTTTTTTTTTTTTTTATTAATTCTTTTTACAGTAATAAGCTTGTTTATTTTTGTTTCAAATTCTCCCATATGCTGACTTCTGCACTCTCTTTTTCTTTAACTACTTGCTCATTCTTTTGGATTCAGGCAGATACCGAGACTGATGAAGTATATGCTCAGATGACCTTGCAACCTCTGAGTCCTGTATGATTTCCTTTCTTAACTGATAACTAGTTGTGGGTTTTATGTTTATACTCTAATATTAACTTTTGAATATGACCATGCTTTCAGGAAGAGCAAAAGGAGGCATACCTTCCAGCAGATTTAGGCACTCCAAGTAAACAGCCAACGAACTACTTTTGCAAAATCTTGACAGCCAGTGACACTAGCACTCATGGGGGATTCTCTGTTCCTCGCAGGGCAGCTGAAAAAGTTTTTCCTCCATTGGTAAAATATTGTTATAGAGTCATGCTCTAAATCTTTTAAATTGCTCATTAAATCTCGGAATTTCTTAATTTGCAATTGTGATCTACAGGACTTTTCACAACAGCCTCCTGCTCAAGAGTTAGTTGCAAGGGATTTGCATGGTAATGAGTGGAAATTCAGACATATCTTCCGTGGTGAGTTATAAAGCTGAGATCTTTTACCTATTTTTAATTGCAATTGTAGGATATATATATATATATATATATATTTTTTTTTTTTTCACATCTGTATGTTTCTTGCTGGGTGCTGAAAGTCAGTTCACTTTCCATTTATAATGTTTGAAGTTGGTACTTTCTTCTGCAGGCCAGCCCAAAAGGCATCTACTTACAACGGGATGGAGTGTCTTTGTGAGTGCTAAAAGACTTGTTGCTGGGGATTCAGTGCTGTTTATCTGGTAAGTAAATTTCTGCTCCTCTTTCCAATTTTTTCCTCATGTTTATTGAAATTGGCTTTTGGCGGTTATGTGGTTTGTATGTCATTTGACCGTTCAGAAAAATATGGGTAAATATTTTTATTGACAAGTTCCATGTATTGTAATATTTTTTTCAGTTTATATTTTCAACCAGGAATCCTTATTTGGGTTGCTGTTGAAGTATGGTCTTCCTTTTAATTGTGTTGTCCAGTAGGTTCAGGCTTTGAGAGTTGTTGCTTCTTACTTATCCTAGCTAGTTTCTTTTTCATCTAGACTTCAATAATCTTATGCTGAGCATATTTAGTTTCCTTATTTATCAATTATCTAATATTTGGTCTAATTAAAGTGAATTTTCTTCAACAGGAATGATAAGAATCAATTGCTTCTTGGCATTCGGCGTGCTAATCGACCTCAACCTGTGATGCCTTCATCAGTTTTGTCAAGTGATAGCATGCATTTGGGGCTTCTTGCCGCTGCAGCTCATGCCGCTGCAACTAATAGTCGTTTCACCATCTTTTATAACCCACGGTAGTACGGTACAATTGTCATACATTTTTTGTTTCAAGTTAAGATAATATATTATGTAAATTAACATTTTTTCCCCAATTCAGTGCTAGCCCATCGGAATTTGTCATACCTTTAGCGAAGTATGTTAAGGCCGTGTATCATACTCGAGTTTCAGTCGGTATGCGCTTCAGAATGCTGTTTGAAACAGAGGAATCTAGTGTGCGTCGGTAGGTTTTTGAAACTCGTTAACAATGATGGTGGAAATGCTTTCCTTCTTTTATGTTTGACATTTTGGTAAATTAAAGTCAGTGTGCAGTATATTTTAGAAATCACACATGCTTTAAATTTCAAAATTGCTTTCTGCCACAGCCTATATTTGTAGAGTAATTCTTAGCTTGTTTTAAATGATGGCTTTGATTTTCTCGTGAGGTGCTTTTAATCTCTCATGCCATTGTGCATGGTATAATTTGGGACCCAAGTATTCTAGGAGGGTAGGAGCTATGGAAAACATTAATCTGGTCATTATGAAGTTGTGTCATAAATATTAGATTAATGAATTTCATTTTGTGCATGGTTTGGTATTTTGTTAAACAAATGTGCAACTTTATACTAAATGATGTAACACAAAATATTTTATTCTAAAAATTAATTGATATTCATATCTTGTTTCCCGTGCCATATCAAATATAGGTGCAGTGCATGGAGTCATAAAATATGACTATTTATCAGTACTTACATTCAATACAACACACATACATTTTTAATTTATTTATCTATACATGTCAAAATCAATTGCCTGAGCACAACTTTGCTTTTTTTTTTTCTTTTTTTTTTCTCTAGTTTGTTTTAATGATAGTCTACCCTTTGTTGCAATGAGATGAACTAGAATCATGGATTCAAATGATTATTCTGATCCTCAATATTGCTGTAGCATATCATCTATAAAGTTTAAATTTTTTCGTTGACAGGTTAAATATGTCTGACCAGTTTGTAGAGTTGGTGATACATGTTTGTACTAATTTTTATATATACTCCTGCAGATACATGGGCACCATAACTGGCATTAGTGACTTGGATTCTGTCCGGTGGCCAAATTCACATTGGCGCTCAGTCAAGGTCTGTTTGGAAACATTTATAAATCTCATTGATGTTATACAATTATATTGAATGCTACTTGTATCTTCAGAAGTTAGATTAACAACATATTTCCTGGGAAACATTTTGTCTCATCAAGGATTTTAAAAATGGACTTGATTTGAGTTGCAGGTTGGCTGGGATGAATCCACGGCAGGAGAGAGGCAACCTCGAGTGTCTTTATGGGAAATTGAGCCATTGACAACATTTCCAATGTATCCATCTCCATTCCCCCTTAGGCTTAAGAGACCATGGCCTCCAGGATTGCCTTCATTCCATGGTATGCTTATTACCATATTTGAGCTGAAAATAGTTACTTTCTTACAGCCTGATCTATTTTCAACATAGAAAGCAGTTGCATTTTAAAGTTAATTTCATTTATACATCAATGAAAACTCATTGTCAATGACTCTCCCCATGGACTCTAGCAGGTTTGAAGGATGATGATTTCGGTATGAATTCTTCACTAATGTGGCTTCGAGACGCAGATAGAGGGCTTCAGTCTCTTAACTTTCAGGGAATTGGTGTTAATCCTTGGATGCAGCCAAGGCTTGACCCTTCGATGGTTAATTATCAAACAGATATGTACCAAGCTATGGCTGCCGCTGCACTTCAGGATATGTGGACATCAGATCCTTCCAAACAGCATCCTCCATCCTTGATTCAATTTCAGCAACCGCAGAACTTCCCCAACAGGACTTCTCCCTTAATTCAGACTCAAATGTTGCAGCAGTCTCAACCTCAGCAGGCTTTTCCAAATAGTCAAGAAAATCCCCATCCATCTCAATCACCTGCTCAAACTCAAACGCATTTTCAGCAGCATCTACAGCAACAACACTCGTTCAATAATCAGAATCAGCATCATCTTCTGCAGCAGCAACAGCCGCAAGTGCAACAGCAACAGCAACAAGTGATGGATCATCAGCAGATTTCAAGCGCTGTCTCTACAATAGCTCAGTTCATTTCAGCGCCTCAATCTCAATCACCACCCATGCAAGCTATCTCTTCACTGGGTCATCAGCAAAACTTTTCTGATTCAAATGGGAACCCTGTGACAACAGCTATTGTTTCTCCCCTGCATAGTATATTGGGTTCATTTCCCCAGGATGAAACATCTCACCTTCTCAACCTTCCTAGAACTACGTCTTGGGTTCCTGTTCAACCTTCAACTGCGTGGCCTCCCGCCAAGCGTGTTGCAGTGGATCCTCTCCTTTCTTCAGGAGCATCTCAATGTGTTATGCCTCAAGTGGAGCAGTTAGGGCAGCCACAGAGTACCTTGTCACAAAATGCCATTAGTTTGCCACCCTTTCCTGGTAGGGAGTGTGCAATAGAAGGAAGCACTGATCCTCAAAATCATCTTTTGTTTGGTGTCAATATAGAGCCCTCGTCACTTCTACTGCATAATGGGATGTCAAGTCTTAAGGGGGTCAGCAGCAACAGTGACTCACCAACTATACCTTTTCAATCAACTAACTACCTCAACACCACAGGCACTGATTCTTCATTGAATCCTGGAATGACACAAAATATCGGTGAATCGGGCTTCCTGCAAACTCCAGAAAATGGGGGGCAAGGAAACCCACCGAACAAAACCTTTGTGAAGGTGAGCATATACCGTTGGAATATTCTTTTCAAATTAAACGTCTTAATTTGATTCACAATTAAATTTCACTTGTTCATGTGATTTTTTATTCTTTTTTACAGGTTTATAAGTCAGGGTCCTTCGGAAGATCATTGGACATCACAAAATTCACCAACTACCACGAGCTACGCGGTGAGCTTGCTCGTATGTTTGGCCTTGAAGGTGAGTTGGAGGACCCTGTGAGATCAGGCTGGCAGCTTGTATTCGTTGACCAAGAGAATGACGTTCTTCTCCTCGGTGATGGCCCCTGGCCGTAAGTATTCTTGGTTCCTTTTCTTTCTGAATGAAATCCCATCTCATTTGGGAATGACTGGGTTACATAATCTTCATTGTTTTGCCATGTGTCCTTATCCTTATAGTGATGATATAGCTTGTATATTCTAGATTTCATTTCTCATCAAGTTTTTGTGAAAACAAGCTTCTTTTCTTACATGTTTCAATCAATGCATGATCTTTGATATGGCAGGGAATTTGTAAATAGTGTATGGTGCATCAAGATACTTTCCCCTCAGGAAGTGCAGCAAATGGGCAACAATGGCCTTGAGCTTCTGAACTCAGTTCCTATCCAGAGGCTCTCTAACGGCGTCTGCGATGACTATGCAGGCCGTGACGACCCAAGAAATTTAAGCACTGGGATAACAGCTGTGGGGTCTTTAAACTACTGAATGATATGACAATCAATACTATGAATTTCTTCTCTCTCCTGTATTATTACTCCTACTTCTCCAACCTTTGTCAATCGTGGGAAGTACTGCCTAGTTGTAGTTTATAGCTTTACTTATAAGCCTTTTGTTTTTGTTTTCCTGTTTTTGCTGCTTAGGACCATTCATAAGCTAAACAATGTACCTATATGGCATCTTGTCAATTTGCTGCAAGTATATTGATTACTTAATCTGTTAGGAAAACTCTCTCCATATCTATTTATATAATTTATATTACTCTTGTCTTGGCTAAATCATTGGTGGCATGTATTTGACCAAGAACATACTTGACAATTGAAGGTAGTAATATTGAACTTGTTGATAAACGTGGGTAACTGTTTGGTAAAGCCTTTGATGCATGAAGAGTAAAATGCAGATGATGTTGGGACTTCTTGAGCTTTTTGGTAACTGAACATTTTGGGAAAGTTTGACGTGACACTTAGAACATGAAGAGGACACCAAAGCCATGTGATGTGTCTCTCTTAACATAAAAGGACGGTGAACAGATCACTTTGTGCTTCCATTAATGTGAAAGTGGCCTGTTTTGTATTCTTCTTGGTTTTGGCTATGCACCCTTTTAACTTTAGTTGTGATGGATTTGCTTCAGGAATGGCAAAGTTGAAAGCTGTGCATTTGTCCATGTCGATCTTGTTTATTCCTTCACGTACCAAGTGTTTGAAATCTCAAACCTAAAAGCATCCGAATTCCGTGTCACAACTAAGGTGTCCTTTGTTTGGAAGGTAGAGAGTTTGTTCCTTAATGACGGTGGTTGGCTCGTGGCTCTTACCTAACGTTGAGGGACAGGAACAGTGCTAATTGTAAGAGCTAGGGCGAACTCAATAAATCTTCATCTAGAAAGTTTATTTTGGTTTAGATATTACATGTACAAATTCTACAAAATAATAGCTTAACTGTGTGGAGGAGGCAAATGAGGAAGAAGATTAGCATGTGTTAACACCATTTTCAGATAGTTTTATGCTATTAATATTATTCATAATAATTACCATTGAATCTAGTGTTAGATAGTAGTTGCATTGCCATTTTTTACTCATGATGTGTTCTAAAAGAAATATATATAATTCACCTTAAAAATAAAATAAGATTTTGTCATTCTTATAATTTATTACCGTTTGACAAACTTAAGATAAACTTTCTACTGTTTGTAAAACATAGTATAAAGCCTTTTTGGAACAGGTTTTTCAATGAAATAATTACTTATTTTTTATGAACTCTCTCAAGAAGTTAACAAACAGAAGATTATTTTATTAAAATAAATTGAACCAATTACACATTGGGTTTATCACTGTGTACAAGACTATGTAAAAATTAATAATAACAAGGTGATTTCAAAAAGTTTCTTCTAGTAATGCAAGGTTAATTTGTTTAAAGTGAACTCTTGAGTTAAAAAGAATGAGCTCATTGTGGCACACACGGTTTCAAACAAAGTAAATGGTTGAGATTACGTTATACATGCAGAATATATAATAAACAAAAGACACATTTTTTATCCTTTCTCCCAATTGTGTTTGTGGTAGGAGGCATATAAAGCAAGCATGCTTCTATTTATTTGAATAATAAGAAAATATCAATTGCGGCACATAGAATCACTCCTGTTTGGAAAACTTCTTTGATTTTCAAAATCAGTTCTGTGGCAAGTATAATTAATTTAGAGAGAAGTGAAAATGTTTCATTTTTTTCATTAATAAAAAATGATTTTGGATGCGAGACCCATAATAAAATATAACCATATTCACACTTCAAAATCAAATGTGATTCTACATTATTATTTAAACAAAGTTAACTTTTTAACTCATTTTCAAAATGTCCTTTCTGAAGAATACAAATCATTTTTATGATTACATTTTTTTCCCCGAAATTTTCTATTAAATTATAAAACAAACACACTCTTAGAATTGAAGGAACTAATTATTATAATTTGCTAACTTGGATCACATTGCAATAATAATCACCAGAGCTAGCAATTTTTCTAGGGGGTTACATCTAAGGATAAAAATTCGTGGGAGTAAAATATAAATATTCACATATAATTACGTAAATACAATGCTAATTTATTAAATTATATAAGAAAATTATAACAATGATCTTTTTTTTTTCTTTCTTGAATCCAATATTTTTAATAATATGATCTGATCTATCTTAATGTAGGAAAAAAAATTAGTTCAATAAAATAAAAAAAATTAAGTAATAAAATGCTAAACAGGAGATGACATATTGGAATTCTTTGACCAAATACCATCACTTAGTAGTTAATTAAAATTTAATAGTGTTTATTTTAATTCAATAATATACTTGTTAAACTAAAAGTCAGTAGAGGCTTACTAGAAATTTCACCTTTAACATCAAGAAATCTTTTTATATATGTCTATCAAAGTAAGATTTTAATGATAGCTTCATCAAAAGTTCAATAAAATTCAAACTTTTTTATTTATGTTTTTTTATTTTAAGGAAGTATTTTTAAAACTTGTAGTATATGAAGAAAAAAAAAATGAAAATAACACCAACTACACACAATATTAAATACGTTATCAGTTATTTGACGTTTAAAAAATTGTAAAGCATATGTAAATCTTACAAATCATTTATGTAAAAAAAAATCTTACAATTCATTTAATCAATTTAAAGTGTAGAGTATTTAACTGTAATCATTCATATAAAGCAAATCATAATATTTTAGACAAACTTTAGTTTAATAAGTTTTCACAAGTTCCTATTTTGACTATGCAGTTTCATTTTATATCTGGATAAGAAAATTTATCCTTCATAATTATCTCATTTAATTATATTAAAATTGTGATTAAAATATTTTCAAAAATTTTATAGTTTCACTTATTTTATTTTTTTAATCTTTATAGTTTAAAATAAACATTTTTAATTCATATATTTATCTTTCAATTTTTTTTAATTCTTTTAATTTAAGATAATTTTTTAATTTATATTTAAATTTTTTTAATCCTTTTAATATTTAATCTTTTTGTAACGTTATATCCTTTTCTTGTTGACAGAACAAAGATATTAATTCAATTTTATACATGCGATATTGAATTTATTTTGTTGAAATTACTTTAAAATAAATTTTTTAATTATTCGTGTCTCTTTTTACCATTATCTATAATATTCAATGTTGAGACATCATTTTTTACCTTAACAAAATTAAAGACTCTTATGATGTCAACACAAAATAGACTACGTTACAAAAAAAAAAAATAACAATAAAAACTAAAATGATTTAACAAACATAAGTATAGATTAAAAAAATTGCCTTAAATTATAAGGACTATAAATAATATGTATAAAAAGCCTAGCAAAAAAATGTGTAAAAAATAAAAATATCTATTTTAAATTATAAAAACTAAAAAATAAAATTATAAATATTTAAAAGAGTATTTAAACCTAAAATTGTGAAAGACAATAGAAAGGAAAAACGAAAGTTAAGTTATAAGATTATATTATGTTGAAGTTAACAAAAAAGTGTAAGTCTAAAAGAGTGATAGAGATAGTAAGAAGATAGGCAGTGAAAAAAGCAAAAATCTAGGGTTTTTGTCCTGCATAAGAACAAGGGCAATGGAGGTGTCCTTTATAGCTGTCGATCCAGTGGGATTGGGTGGATAGAGTGTGGGTTCAATTCAGCAATTTATCGATGCATGTTGTGGGGTTGCCTAATTTGTTATGACTTTTTATTATTTTTTTTCTTATGGGTATGGAATGGTGACAAGGTAAGGCACTATCCCCCGTAATAATAGCAATGAGAAAAGGTAGGGTTGGCAATCCAACAACCCTAGCTCGCCTTTATTGTTGAACACAACTTAATCTCACTTTCCCATCTCTCTCTCATCTATTTCTCTTCTCTTTCTGCCATCTCTCTAATCTCTATCACCCACCACATCATCCAAAAGGTTGCATCAAACTGCCATGCATCTCTCGTTACTTGTTTTCACTTTTCACCCTATTCCCTATATATATTTCTCCATTATCCACCATACGACTACCTTCTTTTTTAATCACCACAGTTAATCTCTTTTACATAAGTTTAACGATGATAAATAAGTGAATATTCTTTATTGATTTTAGTTTTGTTCACTTGCTTAAGGATCCAAAATTTCTTGTTATACAGGCCAATCCAAATTAATATTTTCATTATGTATACATGTTAATTTGCATTTATATAATGTAATATTAAATGAGTTTTAGATATTGTAGAAATTTGTAAACCTAAGTTATGTTTTTGTAAACTTTTTCAATAATATTTTTAAGACAAAAAAATATAAGAAGAAAATATCTAAATAAATTTTTTCATGAGTTAAAATTGTCTTATTCATAAATATTTTAAAAGAATTACAAGGAGAGAACTTTCAAATATTAGTTTATGCAAAAACTAATTTTAACTTATTAAAAAAATGTTTTGTTTTATTTTATTTTTATATTTTTTTCTCTTAAAAGTACTTTTGAGTAAGTTTATTAAAGCATATTCTTAATTTATTTAATATTTTTTTAAATTTAACAATTTGATTGTTAAAATTATATTGACTATCTTGAACAAAAGTAATTTTAAAAGATTATTTTTAACAAAAGTGTTTTCAGATAATTTCTTTAATGTAAGTATTTTAAATTTTTTTTTCAACTTTTATTTCTCAATTGTATATATGTGTGTATGTATATAATATTATTGGTTCATTAAAATATTTTATATCACTATATATATTATTAATTATAAATATAAAATATAAATGTTTTTTTAAATTCAAACAATTATTTTTTAATTCAAAAATATGCATAATTATAATTAAATAAAATACAACATGTCATTAGTATGAGAAGAATTGAGCTCAAATGTGTTGAAGAATGTTTCATATTTGAGTCTCATGCATGAAAAAATATAGTTGGAACTTAAGAGTTGACATGAGTACATGGGTCATCCCTATAACACTTCAAGTTTTTCTATTAATGATAATTATTCATTCTACAATTAAACGAGTCTGATTTTGTGTGTATATGTGTGTGTGATTTTATAATTAATTATTTTATTTTATTATTTGAGGAAAGAAAAGTGTAATATGAGTTAATTATCTTAACTTTTGGATCAAGTGAGGGGTTAAGTTTTAAGATGGGGAGTTGAGTCAATTTTCACTTTACATTCTCATAATTTTAATTTTCACTTTACATTCTCATAATTTTCTTACTCTTGTACAATTACACTCTGAAGAATTCAGAGAACTATAACTCATGGGAGATCACTCAAAGATCCACATTCTTTGTCTAGCATCCACTGAGATAAGGAGAGAGTGAGTAGTCTCACTCTAAGTATGAGGTATGTGTTAGGTAGTGAGATTGACCTATAATCTCTTCTTTGTTACATGTGTTGCATGAAGGGGAAAATCACAAATTATGTGTTACCTTGTATTTCAGTATTCCATGTGATTCTTTAGTGCTTTAATTGATATTGTTAACATGTATGTGTGTTTAATTTTGTGTATCAAACTAATCTTGTGAATCTTAGATTCTCCAAATGCATTAGGTGATTGTATGAGAAGTTAGTATTAGCATGTGAATATATATGTAAATTGAGTCTCTAAGAAGAACAACACGACCTTTAGAACATTTTTACCAATTGTAATTGAAAATTGATGAATGATACTTGTGGTATGAAACTCATGTGTTTATGCAAAGTGCATATTTTTTATACGATGTTGGGCAACACCTAGGCTCATTGGGCGTCATCATGACCAAGAGCAAAGTTTGCTCTTTGGATCATTCGCACTGAGTGTGGGTTGGTCCATGCTAAGCATGGAAGCTCTAAGGGTACCCTACAGTAATTTCGCCAAGCATGGTCTAACCATAGTGCAAGGTGTGCTTTTGTTGATTTGTGTCGGAAAAAAATTGGAGGAACTTTTAGAAGGAGAAACGATAATATTTGGAGAGAATAATGAAAAAAATATTATAAAACTGACTTTTAGTGAAAGAATGCAAAATAATAAAAATAAAACTATTTACGTTATTAACAAGATTCAAACTCACATAAGTTTCAACATAAGTTAAGTAATAAGTTATATTAGACAATTTATCAAAATAAGTTTAAAACATCTTATAAATTATTCATAAGATATTTTATAAGTTTATTCAAACACTTTTATAAGCATTCATAAAATAAGATACAAAAATGAGTTGTTTATAAGTCCTTCCAAACGAGCTAAAATTCAATATTTATTACATATACTTATTTACCAACATAGTACTAAAGTCACTTATATTTTAAAAGCCTTCGTAGAAAGCTAGCAAAAACAACAATTCTCTTATAATAAGCGGGTTAGCAAAGTTCGTGAACTTTGTGACTTGGACTCAATTTTTCTTATAATTATGCAATTATTTTATAAAAAAATAGGTCTATTAAATGTAAGATTCATGTATTTGAGTCTATATATCCACCCCATAGTTGAGAAGAAAGACTTCATTTAGATATCTTAACAAAAATCAACCCTTATATATTAAACACGAAAGTGTTTTTAGAGTTTTTTTTAATGAAAAAATTATTAGAGATTTTTTAAACTTCTTATCTAATTTAATTTTTATTTATCATAATTATTTGTAATTTTTAAAAATAAATTATTAATAAAAAAATAATTTTGTCTACAATATAAATTATTTATCAAAATTTTAAAATTTAGATATTTAAAATATCTATTATACAAATCTTAAATATGATATATATAATTTATTTTATTTTTAATTACATATAATAAATATTTAATTAGTACATTGCACATACTAAAATACTAGTTAATTATTGATAAAATAAATGAATATCTTCCACTAATAATATTACAACTCAAAAAAATATGATTAGTACAGTTTTATGATTTGAATATTTAAATTGGTATAAAAAATATATATTTTGATTCAAATTTAAAAAATATATATTTTGATTCAAATTGATAATAGTAATGTATATTTGAATTCAAATTTTAAAAAAATCAAATAATAAAATTTTGCAACATTTATGTTGATTTCATAAAATAAAATATATGGTTGGTAATTATCTATACCTATTAATAAAGGATATTGAAGTATGTAACTATTTTTTGTCTCCACTTTTTAGTGGACCATTATACCTTTAAGATATATTTTTTTTTTTATATATTCTATTTAAATAACTATCTATAATCTTTTAATTTTATGTTTATGCGTAATTATTAGAAACACGAAATGTCTCGACCTCTCTAATATATATAATTATTGTTAATTTTATTAATTATCATTGTATACGATTAATTTTTACTAAACTACTTTTTGTATTTTTATATAACAATTATTTGTTGACTAATATTTGATTTCGCTCAAACCCTAAACCCAAAACATGGAGTTGGGTTTTGACGTGTTCAGATTTCTCATGACTTGTTCCGACCCGTTGAAGCCTGATAACTTTGATTTATGCAACATTTAGTTTTTTAACTCACAAATATGATAATTGGCCCCATAGTTTTAAAAACTGGACCGGTCATCGAACCAGTTAAGGTATTGGGTCAGTGAGTCAAAGGTTGAACCGGTGGGTCACTGGTTGAACCGCATGACTCGATTTTTATTTATTTATATTAAAAAATATTCATATTAAATATATTTATACTTATAAATTTTAATAAATTCATATCTTATTTTAAATTTAAAATTTTCTATCTTATTTAAAATTATTTTTATTTTTATTTTGTAAAAAAATACATAAAAAAATTACATGTTAAACGGTATATTAATACAAATTAAAAATATAAATAATATGTACATATATAATATGCTTGCAATTAATATCACAAAATAATATATGTAATATTTACATAGATATTGCATTATTAAATATATAATTTAAAATTAATAATATACTATAAAAGTTATTTAAGTTGTATATATTGCAAACAAATATATTAGAACAAGTAGTCATTGTTATATTTAATAAGACTCCTTGCTTTTTCATTAAGAGATTCAATTTTCATTATTATTTTTGTGATTTATGGTCCCTTAAAAAAAATTTAAAAAGAAAAAAAAAAAAAAGTGGTTGAACCGGTTTGACCCACCGGTTCACCGGTTGAACCGGAAAATTGACCGGTTCAATCCGGTTTGAAACGAGTCGACTGCATAACCGATCCAACTTCAGATTCGGACCGGCTGGACCACCGGTTCCCGGTCCAACCGGTCTGACCGGCCGGGTCGGTCCGGGTTTTAAAACACTGATTGGCCCATTAACATTATATTTTATTTTTTTACTATTATTTATCTCTTTACTTATTTGTTATTTATAATTATAAAAATAAAAAACAATTAAAAAATTTTGAACCCCACCTGACCTATTATCAACCGAGTTAAATTAATTCAAATTTTGAAACAAACGAGTGAAATATTTTTGGATGACTTGAAATTGAAACCAAACTAAGGTAAAAAAAAAAAATACACGAATGGGTTTGGTTTAGCATATTTGGGCCATTGGAAGAGGGCCACAACAGGTTTTGGGCTTGGGGGTCCAGTCCAAACTCGGTACCCAACTGAAAGAGTAGGGTTTATGTAATCGAAATTGCGACACCATCGTCTACATATCGAAGAGGCGCCCAAGCGATTTCACTCTTTCGCCGTCGCCACTCACAACACGCGAGCCACAATGGTAATTCACATTCCCTTTTCTCGTTCTTGGGTGTTTACACGTGTTGGTATCTGATGAACAATGTTCTACGTTGTTTCTGCGATTGTGTGTGTAGCCTAAGCAGATCCACGAGATCAAGGATTTCCTTCTGACGGCGCGGAGGAAGGACGCGAGGTCCGTGAAAATCAAGAGGAGCAGGGACGTCGTTAAGTTTAAGGTTCGATGCTCCAAGTATTTGTACACGCTTTGTGTCTTTGACCCTGAGAAAGCCGATAAATTGAAGCAATCTCTTCCACCAGGTTACTTCTTAATCTTATTATTTATTATGCCTTGTAATGTTGTGTATAGGTTTTACAATGTGAATGTGAATGTGAATTTGAGTAATGGCGTTTTATGTTTGCAGGTTTGAGTGTTCAAGACCTGTAGAGTGTGGTACCATTTGTTCCCCTTTTTGTTATGTTATGCTCTAGATTTTGTGGCTTGGTTTTATATTTTCATAATTGTTATGAGGACATGTTTTTAATTTGCTTTGAAATGTGAAAGTTTGATTTTGAGCACAAATTAATTGAATTGCCTCTAGATTTGTTGTTTATTGTACTATGGTGTGCTATCTACTGTAGAGTCTTCTGAATCATACAACTTTATGATTCTAACCATGATACCAGCGATTTGATTTCACTTGCTAAAGTAAGTAGTTACTTTTTAGACTAGGTTGGACTCACATATTTTTGTTTTTAGTGCTAACTTGCACATAATTTTGAGTCTACAACACACCTTAAGATTTGCTCTCAATTGTGCACGAAACAACACTGTTACCTTCTTTCTCTCCGTTAAAATTCCTCTCATTTAACCAAACCGAATTTCTAATACTATCCCTCCCTTCATTCGAACCAAACAGTCCCCTATGTCATAAATTCTCATGTAGTAGACTCATATTAATGTCTTACAAAAGTTGCTTACTCTATGGATGGTATTAAACATTGTCATCGTTAATTTTAATCTATCTTATGTTTGTTTCAATTTAATCAAAGTTTAATTACTGATAGGAATATCTCATTTGCCCATTATCACTTTGGTTTTCTGGGTCGATCATGTCCCTCAGTTTTGGGTTGATCAAATTGTAAACATCTCCTTTTACATGTCTTAATTAAGCCCTTAGTGATATTCCATCGATAGAAGTTTAACACAAGGAGAAAGAATCACAATAATACCGCGAAATTGCTTTGCGTAGTGGATGTGAAATTTGTTCTCTCATTTTTTAATTTTAACTTGATTTTGTTATGTGAAACTTGTCTCCACCTCTATTTTCTCCCACCTTGGTTATTTATTTTCTTAGTTTGTAACCAGCCCGCGTTTTCTCTCATCAAGCTAGTCACGCTGAAAAAATAGGTGAATATATGGTAAATAAATTTCTGGCTGTTGTTAGAGAGTAAAGTAAACTTTTAAATTTCCTGCAATGGAGTGTTGGGACAACGTTTGATAGAAAATTAATGATTGATATTATGATAAAACACATGTATATAAACATATATAATTGTCTAAATTTTAACTATTGTTTTTTTAATAACAATTCTTACTCTATACTTTTACTTTTTAAAGTATACCTAGAGGAGTTAATTCTCGTGATTTACGTTATATCGGAGACAAAAGTGCATATTTGGCTTTATTTTTTTTTTAAGGAAATAATAAATTTTATTGGCTTTTGATATATTTTATTCATTTCTGTAAAATAATTTCTGATGGACTAAAATTTTATATGGAGACCATAGTCAATGTTGTGGATCAAACCTTGAACTACACTCATGGTTGGTTCGTTCAAGTATATAAAATTGATTATCTGATGATGAACCACTAAATTGGCCACAAAACAATGATACTAATAGTGTGGTTGGATGAGAAATTTTATTAATTCAAGGATTTAAAGTTTTTAGTATTTAAATTATTTTAATTTTAATTTTTATTATTCAAAATATTTTATTTGGATAAGTTAATTTTAAAATTTTAATTTGATTGTAGTAATTTGATTTTATCATGATAGATTTGATTTTAAAAATATATTTATGTGTGAAGATTTTTAAATTAATTTTATAAAAATAAATATTAACTAGTTTGAAAATATTTATTAATTTTAAAAATTAATATTAGATAAGTTATTATCTTAAAAATATTTTTAAATGTTTATTAATTATAATAATGAAGAGAAAATATAAGATAAAATATATAACTGAAATAACAAATGGATAACGAGGATAAAAAGCCGATGAACCTGCAAAAATCGTAAGAGAATACTTAATTATTCAATAGTTGTTTCAACTTTTACTATGCTGTAGAAGAATTTTGATCCATTAGATAATTCATTGTTGTAAACCCAGGCAAGTGCATTTTGAAGGTTTGGAGTTTTAGGGATCCACGTTTTTGTGTAGATTCACGTCAAACCACGCATTCTGATTTTATGCGTCTGAAGCTCCTGACGCACGCAATGTAAGTAAGTATATTGGGCAACAGTGTTCAAATTTTAACGAAAATTTTTTAAAAATTAATTTTTTTTTAAATTCTTGATATTTGAATATTTTAATTTTAATGTTATTATTCTTAAAATATTTTATTTAAATAAGTTAATTTAAATTTTTAAATTTTAAATTGATAGGTTGGATATAATAATTTGATTTCATTATAATAAAATTAATCTTAAAAATATATTTATATGTGGTGTTTTAGATTTTTAAATTAGATTTTATAAAAATAAATATTAACTAATTTTAAAATATTTAATAATTTTAAAATTAATATTTGATGATATTTAATAATTATAAAATATTTTTGAATATTAAATAATTAAAAATATGAAGAGATAAAAGATAAGACAAAATATATAAGTGAAATGAGAAAAAGAATATGAAAATTTTCAAATCCTTATTTTTTTATGAAAGAATTTGAAATTTAACGTTCAAAGAATTATAAAATGCTTAAATTTTATATTCTTTATACATTCTCTATCTAAATAAAATATTTTACTTTAAAAAATTTGAATTTTTTTAAATAAATAATATATTTCATTTAGATTTTATATCCAAACATACTATAATAGATTTTGATATTTAGTTTCCGGAACGTATAAAAGAAGCGTGTAAAATTAAAAATATATACTAGAATGTTATTTAAACAAATACCTTCGATTTTAAAAACATTATCCATAATTGTTTACTGTTATCAACAAAGTTTAACACAATCATTGGACGGATGAGTATTTTTAGCCATGTTGTTAAGAGTTTGATTTTCTATCTTTTGTATTGAGAATACTTTGTTGTGAAAAACAAGATACAGTTTTTCAATTTTAACATCTAAAAAAGAAAGTTCATAATTGTGTTTTGAAGGATAATTTGACACCAAAAAAATATTTTATTTCCAATAAAAAGTTAACTTGAAAAAGAGAGTATTGGATTGTAAAAGTAAATTAAGATAAAATAATGTAAATTAAAGGAAAAAGAATACTCAACTCCTTTAAAATTTACCCTTTTTACACCTTAACATTTAATTTTCTCCTAATTGTTCCTTCTTTTTCTTTTCTTTTTTTTTTTCATTTGCAAATACACATCTTGAATTTTATTTTTATTCCAATTTATCCTCAATCTTATTTTTTGCGAATAAACGCCTTGAACTTTAATTAAATTCTAATTTATTCATAAAATTTATCCTTTTTACAAATCGTTTTTCTATCAAGTTATTGTTAAATTATCTTAATTGTTAACCGTTAACTAATACTATTTTCTTCTTTTGTTAAAATTAATTTTTTATACATTAAAATTAATAAAAAATGAGTTTAAAAATAAAAAATAAATTAAAATACTAAAGTTTAAAAAATAATGATGATAAATGTTAATCATTCAGTAATATTTTTTTTTTCAATGCATAAATTATTTTATCTTTAAATTAAGGTGTTTATGTTTAAAAATGATAAAGTTCAAAGATCAATTAAACAAAATTAAAGTTTGTTGTATTCATTTGAATACACAAAAGTTTGTTGTATTTATTGGAAGTTTCTGCCTCTACACTTTAGCAAAAATTCTCAAAGCAAAATTTAAAAGTTTAGACATATAATTAGTGGGTCAGGCTTGTAATTAATTGGATTTAGGCCCACTATCCTATGTATCTATAAATAAGTGTTAATATTTTGTGTTGTATAGGATAATCCTTATTTTTTTGACAAGTTTCTCTAAATTCTCTCTCTTTCTCTTTCTTCCTCTTTATCTTGTACAAATTTCTCTTTTATATTTCTTGGCTAATTTTGATAAAGAATATTGATGAAGATACTTGGTTAGTCTGCTTATCAATTCAAGATTTCATGAATTACGGTAAAATTTGATTTCCAATTTAATTTTTCCATACGAATTCTCCATCTTCTTCTCATCTTTCTTAGATCTATTTTCATGATTTGTGATTGTGAATTCCATTTTTAGATCTAGATTTGAATTAGATAATCCTTATTTTTTGACAAGTTTCTCTAAATTCCCTCTCTTTCTCTCTCTTCCTCTTTATCTTGAACAAATTTCTCTTTTTATATTTCTTGGCTAATTTTGCTATCGCATCTTGATGAAGATACTTAGTTAATCCGCTTATCAATTCAAGATTTCATGAATTACGGTAAAATTTGATTTCCAATTTAATTTTTCCATACGAATTCTCCATCTTCTTCTCATCTTTCTTAGATCTATTTTCATGATTTGTGATTGTGAATTCCATTTTTAGATCTAGATTTGAATTAGATAATCCTTATTTTTTGACAAGTTTCTCTAAATTCCCTCTCTTTCTCTCTCTTCCTCTTTATCTTGAACAAATTTCTCTTTTTATATTTCTTGGCTAATTTTGCTATCACATCTTGATGAAGATACTTGGTTAATCCGTTTATCAATTCAAGATTTCATGAATTACGGTAAAATTTGATTTTCAATTTAATTTTTCCATACGAATTCTCCATCTTTTTCTCATCTTTCTTAGATCTATTTTCTTGATTTGTGATTGTGAATTCCATTTTTAGATCTAGATTTGAATTAGGTAATCCTTATTTTATTGACAAGTTTCTCTAAATTCCCTCTCTTTCTCTCTCTTCCTCTTTATCTTGTACAAATTTCTCTTTTATATTTCTTGGCTAATTTTGCTACCGCATCTTGATGAAGATACTTGGTTAATCCGCTTATCAATTCAAGATTTCATGAATTACGGTAAAATTTGATTTCCAATTTAATTTTTTCATACGAATTCTCCATCTTCTTCTCATCTTTCTTAGATCTAATTTCATGATTTGTGATTTTGAATTCCATTTTTAGATCTATATTTGAATTAGATTAGAATTGATTAATTCAATATAAATGGAAATTAGGTAATTAATTAATTGCATAAATAAATATGTTCATTGTTTTTGAATTTTTTAAAATTAGTATGTGATTTTTTTTTAATTCTTAGATCTAGATTTAGATGTACATTCAATTTAGATAGGTGTTGATAAGAAGATGCTTGAATTATTATTTTATGTTGAACCATGAGAATTTTACCATAAGGAAAAACATTCTTGAATTGGTGCCTTTTCTGATTGAAATTTCTTGATTTTTATTGTTGCGTTCTTAATTTTATTTTGTGATTCAATTTTATTCTAATTAAATCCCTTTTTAAAACTGTGATTATTTTTAATTCAATTGATTGTTGTCTCCAAGAAGAATGACCTAGGTTAGTCCCTATATTACAAATTTAAGAAAAATCTAGTTGTATTTTAAAATGAGTCACAATGCTATTAGGAAGAAGGTTACAACTAGATGGCCATCTTGGCTAGCAATAGTGGGTGGAGAGGCTATCAAGGTTTGTTACTTTTTAGACATGCTTTTTTGGCTTATATGTAAGCCCCTATTTTTGTTGCAGTGTTACACTTCCTTGACTTTATATTATTTTTAAGCCTTATCAAAAAATTACAGATATATCATTGACATTTTTTCATTAATTAGAAGATTAAATTCTACATTTGATAGCATGTTAAAGGATACTAGAATCATATCATTGGTCTTTACAACAAACAATTTGTTCACTGTACAAATAGAAAACATGTATAATGAATGACGATGAGTTATTACTAAAGCATAATTAAGTAGACCAAATTCAAGGAATTTGAAGAGATTCTAATTTTTTTTTTCCTTTAAGACATATCTATCTTTTTGGTTAAATGGATTCACTCCTCACCAATCAATGACTTAAATTGTTTTGGTTCGTTATGTTTCTATAATTTGTGTTATTGGCTTATAAGTTCACATTTTGTTTTTCATATTGTTATTTTTATTGTGTCATTTTTATTTTTCCCCCTAAGCTTACATATGATGATGAGTGATCAAACATATCTGAGTTAAAAAATATATATTAGTCATTACATTGGTGAACTTGATCTACATTTTGTTCATTAGAAAGATAAAATAAATGAATGGTGAGATGGGTTGTTAACTAAAATTGTGTTAAAGTTTATCATTTTATATCATTACAACAACTACTTATTTATGTTGTTTCTTTGGCATGTTTTAATTTTATTTATGGAAAAACTAGAACTTGAAAGAAAATAAAATTTGCAAGGACATTAAGCATGCTTTTTTTATAAATAAAAAAAAAATGGGTTAAGAATCCAACTCATCCATACAAAATCAACTTGTAAGATGAAGATTACTATCCACTTATATACACTAGTATAACCTTATTTCTAGATGTTGTGGGGTCTCCAACACTCGGCGTGATGTTTGTAGGATTAGACATTTGTAGGTAACCTGATAACAATCTCAATAGCGAGTGGCACGATAGGTCCAACAACAATTAAAAATCATTAGAATATAAACTCTTATACCATTTGTTAGATATTGAGTATTTCTTTATGTTATAAGTTCAATCCTTTTTCCATATTCATAATTGATACTCTCTTCACTACATGAATATTTATAGTAATCACCATCACTATCTTCACTAGTGTACCTTAGCTTTGCACTTTGTCTTCTCATCAAATTGAGCATATAGTTGAATAACTGACAAATATGGAACATAATATTGAGCAAGAGACTCACTTTGATCAAGTACCAAAGGAACTCCAACTCCATTGATCAACAACTACTCTAAGAAATACAAGGTCGATATTTCTTAGAGTAGTTGTTGATCAAAGGAGTTGGAGTTCCTTTGGTCCTTGATCAAAGTGAGTCTCTTGCTCAATATTATGTTCCATATTTGTCAGCTATTCAACTATATGCTTAATTTGATGAGAAGACAAAATGCAAAGCTAAGGTACACTAGTGAGGATAGTGATGGTGATTACTATAGAGATTTATGTAGTGAAGAAAACAATGATTATGGATATGGAAAGAGGAGTGAATTTACAACACAAGTAAATACACAATTTCTAAAAGATGGTATCAAAGCTTATATTTTAACGATTATTAATCGTTGTTGACCCTATTGTGTCATTCACTATCGGATTGTTATTGAACCATTTACAAATGTCTAGTTTTGCAAACTTTACATCAAGTGTTAGAAATCCCACAACATCTAAAAATAAGGTTATAATAATATATATAAGTGAGAAGCAATACTCATCTTACAAACCAGTTTTGTAAGGTTAAGTTAAACTTTTAAGTGACTTTTTTTTACCATGAATTCATATGTCATGGTTTGAATTTATTGGACATGTTGATTGATCTTCTAATATTTTCGGGTCAACGAAGTTGTTGATGTTAAATTATAATAGATATGAAACCCGGGCTGGCATGCTATCTCAGGTCATTTTGATCTTTCTGTAAATGTGAATCCAAATATTTTTTGGAGCATAGATGTTGCTATGTCGGAGTAGGACTGAACCCAATGCCCTGAGTTTTCATGCAGTTCTTAGCCAATTCAAACTAACCTAGTGAGCATGTGATTGTGGTCCCCAATTGTTTTTCCACTTGGGTAAGTTACAAGTAATAGGCAACTTCACTTTTACAGCCTTGTGGAAACTTGTGTCATGCTTGCTTATACCAAAGCTCAGCCCATGCAATTGGCCCATTATAGGTTGCTCGGTGCTGCCTGTGAAAGGGTTCAGTCAGTAAAAGGAAACCAGCACGCTTACTAGACTAACTTGTGCACATCTTTTTCCAATATTTCATGGGTTAGTTATTCTTTTTAAAATATTCAAGTTCTTCCTCAAAATGCTGTCAGAGTCATCAAAGTGGGGCAACACCAAGTTTTGATCGGGGGTTTTAAAGAGCCGAAAGCAAATCGCACACGTTCTAAAGAATCATATACATAATTCTTTTTATAACCGTGTTACAAGTATAAAATATCCATTGATTTTATTAATCAATTTCCATCTTAGTCGAATTCTTTTAATAAAGTTTCTTCCCTCAAATATGTTTTCTAAATGGACCAAATTTAGTTTTACTTATACCAACGATTTGGCAGAGTCATTCAAATAATTGTGTATACGACTTGATTAAATTTTAAAACACAACCCAGATTGCAGCAGTTTTGAAGAAGCAGAAATTGACCGGTGCTTCTTTATTGCGTGTTATGAATCATGAAAGAGTAGTTTTGTTTATGTATTTGCGTATTTATTAATATTAATATATTTTACAAACTTGACAGCTGTTGTCATAAGAGTAACATAGCCTGCTGATATATATAGATATAAACATGAGCCATATATTGTAACCAAAAAAATTGATAGATATATTTATTGTTTATAGCATGTTGTACGCAAGCAATCAAAGCACATTTAACTTCGAGTTACATTTCGTAATAAAGCTCCCTAAAGGGTCAAACAAATGCTTTTGAAAATCATAGAAAAAGTGCCAACAAGCTTTTACTGGTCCCAGTCTAACTTGGGTGTAAAAGAAAATTTTGTAATGATACACTACAGACAATAACGTCACTGTATCACTTATTTGGGTGCTAAAAAAGCTTATTTTTTTTACATGCTTAATAGCCAAATTAAAACCACCAGAAAGCATGTCAATAAATGAATGTTACAGCTTTATTTAATATATGGTAAGATGCCCAACACCGGATATCTCAGCCTTGCAGCTGTAAATAAAAGAGTATAATTCGTACGAAAATACTTGGTAATAAATTGCACCACTCATCCATTAAACATTCTTTGCTGTATATGTTTGATTTGAAATTGCATAAAAAAGTAGCATAAACTGAGAAAGCAAGATCACGACAAAATTTACATTAAAGTAAAATAAAAATGGCCAGGTAAAAGCAAACATTTCTGTTTTTCTTCTTCTTTCTTTAAGAAAAAGAAGAAAAAAGACAGTTTTGTGACTTGTAAAACATCACTCAGCAATCACTTTAATGTAGCAACTTGCACTCAGATGCATGAAAATTACAAGGTTTGAAGTAACGTATAAGATGATGATATGCAAATTTTGATGAGCCATATCATCCACGGTAAGAAAGATTAGCAAATCTTGGAGTGAGGTGCATAATGCATGAATTGTATAAATCACAGCCAACCACAACAGATGTAATTGGAGGAGGGTATTCGTCCTGTTTGGCGGATGTACTCTGCTTGAGCAGCAGTTCTTTCTGCTTCTCGATTTTTTCTTGCTTCAGCTGCTGCTCGTTTCTCTTCTGATCTTTGTCTCGCCATAGCTATCTTTTTCACCATTTTTGCATGTGTCTGGGCTCTCATTTGCTCAACTTTGGCCTAAAATATAGTTATGTAAGTTTCAATCAAATGCAAAGTTCCAGCAAAGACTTTTAACTAAAGTATTTCTAAGGACATATTACTATTAAAGTATTTATAGAGACTTTTGATCAAATATTTATGTAATCAAAGAGACAAAGTGCATTATTTCAGATTCAGATAAAGACGGATTCCAACTTAAATCTCACAGCCAAGCATTTCATGTAATATATACAAGTAGATATCAGCAATAACAAAATTTATCTTGTCTCTCGCTCTCTCTCCTTCCCTTTCCATACACTTGGCTTAAAATGTTTTGTAATCTCTTCAAACTACATTTATGTTTTAAACATGCAATAACTCTGTTTCCAACGAATATAGTTATGTAAACTGTAAAATAACTACCTCAATTCTTCTCATTTCTGCTTCTAATTTTGCCTTTTGCTGACTTTCCCATGCTTGAATTTTGATTTCCTCGCGCTTAAATCTGCCAATTTTAACACATTATAATCACATTAGGAAGGATGAACAAATTACATGGTTCTATAATTAGTCTTTAGAGACTATGAGTAAAATAAAACCTTGCAGTATGTTTAGATTTCTCAGCATCCTCCCACAGAGCAGCACGTTTTTCAAATTCAATTCTCTCCTGTTCTTGCTCATTTGTGTCCCGGGGAGAAGATTTTTTCTTTTCCAGCTCATCTTTGCTTGCCCATGCAGCAATGTTCATCTTACCAAGCTGCACCCCAAGGGCTGCAATTTCCTTCCTGGTCTTGATCTTCATTTCTTCTTCAGACAAATGCTTTTTGCCGTTTTCAACTGGAAACTGGGAGTCCTCATTGGTTGTGTTGTCCAAAGGTGTTGGAGCAGGTCCACCTCTCCTAGGAGTCGAAGGCATAGAAGAAACTGGGCTCCGTAGTGGAGTTGCAGACCCAACAGGAGTAGCAGTCCTTGACGGTTCTTGACTTGGCACAGGGGTCATTTCAGTTCCCATATCTCTCATGGCAACAGATCTTATCCCAGGCATCACTGAATCATGAGAACAAGTTAATCTTACTGTCTATGCTCTGAATATGTTATCAATGAAAAGAATCTGATGTAATAAGATCATGCACCAGAATATCCAAATGGCACTTTTAATGTTTCTCTCATATCATTTATCTACTAAACTAGGGAATATAGTCTATGGATATAGTTGAAAATAAGGAAATTATATATTAATCAATTGTGTGTTTTGTACATTCCCTAATCTCCCTTTTTATGAGGTAAATGATAATGCTTAAAAAAGGAAATAACAATAATAAAGAAATAGGGTAACAAATAACCAAAGATATTTAGAGATATCTTTTATCTCCTAAATATCTATGATATTTACATGCAGATATTAATCTTGGTCTAGACTCTAGAACATAGCGAACGCATCAACTAAACAAGTGCAAATAAAAAATTTCAGCTACCAGTAATTTGCTCTTATTTGATAATGTTCAGTTATGCAATGCAGTAAAGGTTGCCTTAAATTAGCACGAATAATAATTATACAAAAATAAATACTGTGTAAACTTTTGATCTCCCCAAAAGAGGAATAAGAAACCCATATTATCAATATTGGGGTTGAATATCATACCTGATTGATCATCTGTACTTCTAGAGCAAGATAAAGCCAATTCATTGACTTCCTTTAGATCTTTGCTTTGAGGAAAAGACTCCACTGCTGGATTTCTTCCATGTGCTTGACCTGAAACCGATTGAGCGTCGGAGGGAACAAAAGAGAATTTCTCAAATCCCATATGTGAAGAGGGTTGACAGAAATCAACTCGCTTTGTTTCTGTCACCTTGCCTGTTAGGAGCTTGGGATCATAATTACCAGAATCCGGAGCAACCCTCACCATACTTGTTGGCACACGAGTTGCTTGGTTATGTACTGGATTCTTCTTTGAGTGATTAACTTGTATATTTTGCCTATTCATTATCCATTTCTCAGCATCGTTCCACTTGGAAGGAATAGGTCTGAATAGGGATCTAGTGGCAGGATTGTTTACTGGCCTCTCTCCTTTATCAAACTCAAAACTCGAAGAGCTAGCATTGCTGTCATAATCAAGATTTTCATCTTCTGTTGTTCTCAGCGCGTGAATTGTGCTCGAACTTCCGGTATCAGCCTTCTGAAAATGCTGCACCTTCACACGTCCCATGTCGCCGTTTTCCTTAGCCATTGTCTCCTTTGGTTCATAAGAAGTCTGGTCACCCTGTCTCCGGTTCAGCACAGCATCACCAGATGGCTTCAATTCATGAACTTCCAAGCTTGGAGATGTAACTGGAAGGACCAAGTTTCTAATTAGTTAACACATGAAGTTTTCATCCAATAGAAAAATAAATACACAAAAACTGTTAACACATAATAATGCAAAAATGAATAAATTGCAATTGCAATTGCAAACCTTCATCATCAAGGCTATCACTTTTTGAGGCAAGTAAGCTATTCACAAATTCAGCATCCTCAAGCCTTGAAGGGGAGGTTCTGGATGAGTTACTGTTGGATCCATCCTTCTTCCTATGATGGTGAGGCCCTAATAGCTTCATCCTCAGTTTACTGGGAGAAATTATTCCAGTCTGCAGAACAAATGGCATAGTTATCCCCATCAAAATCCTTCAAGAACTCAATTAGCAAAATTCAAACAAAATCCATCTTGCAACATACTACATAAACAATTAATGATGCCCAATACATGACCACTTTTTTTCCACCAAAAGGCCCACCCACCGTTTCAACCCACACCCTTTTTTTTCACTCAAGAAGAAAAAAAAGAAGAAGGGAAAATGAATTCCACTCTTTATGCCATTCCCTTTTCAGCCTTTTTTCTCTCTTCCTCGCCCACCCACCCACCACCAAATAATAATGACGAACCCCATCCTTCCATTCATTACAAAAGTAAAAAAGGCAAAAACATGATTTTTGAAACCATGTAAAAAAAAAAATATATATCACTTGGAGGGAATCCATGAAACCAAGCCCACAAAGAAACAAAAGAGATGCGGACTATTGTGAAGTCCAAGAACACAAAGCTTGAATTACATGGACAATTTTCCCACCAACCCAGTTTGGGAAAGAAAAAAAAGATATAATTTTGATGAAGAAGAAGAAGCATGGTGGAAGAGCAAAGGAGATAAGAGAGGCTAAATGCTAAACCTGAACTTTGTCTATTCTCTCGTAATCCATTAGATCTCTGGCTGCCTCTTTCTCTCTAACTTGGAAGGTAGGTCATGCAGAAGTGGAAGTCAAAAAAGCTCAATTTTGCAGCTTGGTTTGGAAGTTATGAGTGGTGAGTTGCGAGTGAGTGATAAGAATAAGACATGAGAGAGAGAAAGAGATTATGGATGTGATGCAGCAGAGAAGGAGCAGGAACAGGTGTTTACTTGCTCAAGAAAGTGTTCAAGTTGGGCTTCTCTGCAGTACTGGAGATGCTGTATCTATCTATGATCTCGCCACGACATCACAATGGCCCCGCCTGCTACAAAATTAATTCAATTCGCAATACTCATAATTTTAAATAAAAAATACTATAGTTTTAATATAAATAAACTTGATTGTAATGTTTTTTTACCAAAATTTCATAATTTCATAAATTTTGACATTTAACTTATGTAAAATTTATCAACTTTTAAATATTGATATATTTTATCATTTCATTAATTGATTAATATAATATGTTGATTATTAATAATTTATTAATATCAATGATGTTGGATATAAATACTGTTATGACTTAAATTGTCATGTAACTAATATGTCATGTTAATAATTATCTAATATAGGTTGATAATTGTGATACTATCAATTTCATAATCCTTATTTAATTGATCATTACTATTGAGAGCTTTAAAATCGAGAAACTTTGGGAGTAAGTTAATTTTTGAAGGGTTGGACCATAGATAGGAGAAGTCAACTCAAGAAGGTATAAAAGAGAGTTTTTCAATTATGAACTTCATAATGCAAGTTTCCAAAAACCGTAGAGAGAAATTAGAGGGGGATTATCACTTCCTTCTTCCTTCTTTGTTTCTCATTCTTGGTAAGAATCCTTCCTTTTCTCCTTTTTTCAGCTAATTCAAGTTAGTGGTGATGAAGATCCAACCTTCCGAGGTTGGAACTTCAAGCGATCGTTGTGCGAAGTTGCTTCTTCATCTTCTTTTCTTGCGATTTTATTCTCTGAAGGTAAGGGAAGCTGAGATTTCAAATTCTTGTGTGCGTTGCGGGGTTATGATGTTGAAATGAGTTGATTGTTGGTTGTTGGGAAGAATTAAGTGATGAAAATGATAAAGTTGAGAGGGTTTTGTAGCTTTGAAGTGGAGTATCGGAAATTGAGTTGATTCTTGATTGATTTCGGTTGCATGTTGCTTGTGATGATGAAATTATGTTGTAAATGTTTTATATATGTTGCTTATTGCATTGTATTTAGGATTGTTGGATTTCAGGTAAATTGGTCTTAACCAATTTCTACATAAGTGCGAAAAATGACATTGTGTCGGGTTTGCCTTCATGGCATCAAACGTCAATTCAAAGAGGGACCTTTGTTTTACTCACATCGGGAGTAGGATTGGTAGTTTTGAGTGTGAGGAAAGAAAATCGTCTTAGGTTGGAATAACGTCGGGCGTGGGTTGAACGACATCGAGTGTGAGGAGAGAAAATCATCTCTACTTGGGTTCACATCAAGCACTAATGTGTGTTGCACTAGGCATGAGTCAGGCAAAGAGCCATCTACCTAATATGGGTCAAGCGTGGGTGTTGCCACACCGGGTGCAAGAGTGTGGGATGCTATTTGTCTCAATCATGTTAGACGTAGGTGGTTTTACGTCAAGCACAAATGAGACAAAGAGCTCTGTGTCTCAATGGCACTAGGCATCCAATGACTGATGCCGAGCGTGAGTTGTATAATGAAAACATGTTGTTAAAGTTGTTTTATAGTTGATTTATGATAAATTTGTTATGTGAGTGATGTTGTAAGATGATATACGTGTGATATGTAATAAGTTGATCATGTTGTAAAGTGGTGAGTTGTTTTAAGCTGCTTATACTAATATAATTGTTGTTCTATTAAAGTTACTCATGGTGTAAAGATGTATGATGTTTAAATTGTTCAAATTATTACGGTGATATGCTATAGGCATGTGGGTTAGATACATGTCTTAACTGTGATATATAAAAACTAGAGGGAAGTAAAGTCATTTTTGAAAGTTGAATATCTCATTGTGTGGATATACATTATGGTGCTCCAAAAACCCGGTTGGAAACCCATTAGTAGGTAAATTGACCTCTAAATGGGTAAATTGTTTTCAGTTGTCCCATTTAGGATTTATGTGGCATCTGTGTGTGGACAAAGTCAAGACACACGTGTATAAAGTGACCAACTGGGTAAGGTACTAGGTTAAGGACTTAGTCTCTAACCTAGTACTTGGAGGATAGTTGATGGACTAATCTCATAAATGGCTAAGTAAAGCAAGCTAGTGTCATGATAGACTCTTACCCAAACTATTCTATCTTAATAATAGTATTAGACTTCCTAGTTTAAGTGGCAACTTGCGAAATCAAATTAAGTTATTAGTTGACCTGGTTGAGATGGGCCATACATTGTGGTTTGATAGAATCTAGCCATTCAAACTACTCATCGTGTGTTGTAGAAGATCTCTATAGTTGATATCTATGACGATGTATCAGATGTGATATATATGTTGATATGTTGAATGTGTTGTGAGTTGTTTAAGTTGTTGCGTTGATGATGTTGTCAATGTTATGAGTTGTTATATTTTGCTATGATGATATTGTTTATGGTTTTTTTATATGTTGAATTCTTTTCACAAACTTACCTCGTGTTTTCCTTGTGATTGAAATTATAATGATCATATTTGGTATGAGAATAAGAAAAGATTAACATGATGACTTGTGCTGCTAGCACGTAGTCATGCTGGAATTGGCTAGGTTTTATTGATAGCTACTTTGATATAGTCAAATCTTGTATAGATGTTGACCGACATTTAGATTTATTTTGCACTTAGCACTATATTTTTGTATATAGTATGTATGTACAATAAGTCTTATTATGTTGTTTATACCCTACATATATATGTGTATATGATATTAGCCTTTAGTTACATGATAAATCCTAAATCTCGTGTTTTTTAGTCATTTTTTTAGTCATTTGTTGTGTAATAGTTGAACCGTAGTAAGTATAGTAAGTCGAGTCATTACAATAATCAGTTAAAAAAATGATAAAATGTACAAAATTATTATAAAAAAAATAGTGATAAAATGTACAATTTTAAAAGTTAAGTGACCAAATTCATAAAATCATGAAAATTTTAATAGAAAAATGTACAATTAAGTCATATACATAATATGTAATAAACTATTAGGATCTAGGATTTATTTGACAATATGTTTAAATAGTATGTACAAAATTTTAAATTAAAATTTTGTTATCATTGTAATTTTTGTCGATAAAATGAAATAAATAATATGTAATTTAAATAAATATAATACAAAAATAAAATTTGTTATCCATTTTATTTAACAAGTTATCTTTTTTTATGCATTTTAAACTTGTATCAAAACTTTAAATGTGAAAGCAAAGTGGAATCTATTGAGAGTAAATTACAATTAACTTTATTAAAATTAATTATGAAAATTTAATATGTCTAAACTTTGAACTATTTTTTTTTGTTATATTATGTCTAAACTACTACTTTTACTCTTGCGCATTTCCCCGTTCTACCAGAGGATTTGCCTGTTTTAGTCACAACTTACAAGGTTAAAAGTTAAAAACAAAAAAGTAATATTTGTTTATTTTACATTCCAAGGACTGCCCTAACCTAGGTAATTAAGACATTTGGTCTTTAGTTTGGATGATGGCATCTGTATTTTTATTTTATTTTTTTAAGTATTTAGGGTTTGGGAAGAAGTGAAAAATGGAGAGCGTGAAGTAGGGGAATTACATTGATTGCCATTAAAACTTATGTGATTTTTTTTTCACTTATACATTGGTTAAAATCTAACAAATATAGGAAGACATTTATATTTTATATTGATGACATTTACATTAATTAGTTGTACAATTGATACAGTATGTCTTTTTTAACTGACAGGAAGACTTCCTACACTAATGAATGTATTATAACATTAAAGATGTTTTATTGTTGTACTTAAAAGAAACTAAATTTATTATTGTCAAATTCATTGTAATGTTTTATAAAAATATTTTTAATAATAGATTAATTGAATTTGTAACACGATAAGTTTTTGTTAATTATTATCTTTTAACAATAATTATATGTTGTGGTGTTTTTGGTTGTTGAGAAATTATGAGAATTTAAGAATTCTTGTGAGTTTTATGCATTTAGAAAGCTTCTTGGGATAGAAGTCCAATTTGATCGTGAAGAAAAGATATATAAGATTTCTTTTGAGAAATATAAGGTTCATGTTGAAACTTGAACCTCGTAAACTCACTTGTTTAGATAAATTTGATGAGATAGCTAAATAAAGACACTCTAAAACCCAAGGTGACATTTTCTTCCTTTTGAATCCATAGCAGACCTTTGAATCCTTCCTTGAAGATCTTGATTTGCTTGTTGGTAATTTAAAGTTGTTGAGAGTTGAGGATCATTGTTAGATTGGTGAGGTGCGAAGCTTCAATGTTAGCTTAGAGTCATTTTTTCTCCTTCTTTCTTCATTTTTGCTTGGAGTGGAGGTAAGGGATGTTAGAATGGATTATTAATTGTTGATTTGCATGATTAATTTTTATTCATTGGAATATTATTGTGCTAGCTAAATTCATATTTAATGTTTGAGGTTTTGAGTTTTGGAAGTTTTGAGATTATGATGATGAATTTTGGTGGTTGATCAAATTTTTATTGCATGTTGAATTTCTGGTGCAAAATGAGTTGTGGATGATGTATATACATGAGATATTACATTGCATGCTTGGTATCTTATGATTTTCAATTGGATTAAACCATTTTCATGAATCTGCACGTGCATAATTCACCATCACGTCGAACATGTCTTCATGGCACCGACCATGACTCAAATCAAGGGCCCTTTGTTTTACTCGTGTTGAGTGTAGGATATTGGTGGCAACGTGAGGAAAGAGAATTATTTTTGACTTGGTCACATCAGATTTAAAGTTTAATGGTGCCGAATGTGAGGAGAAAGAATTGTCTTTGTTTAGATCGACGTCGAGCGTCAATGAAGTAACGCTGAGCATAAATCATCCTAAGGCTCTCTACCTCAATGAGACTAAGTGCGAGCTTTGTCATGCCAAGCGTGATTGTGCCATGGGACCTTTGGTCTCATCCACACCAAGCGCGAATTGAATGGCGTCAAGTGTGGTGGAGATAGAGAGTTCCATATCTCAATGGCAACGGGCGTAAAATGTATAGTGTCAAGTGCGAGTTACCTTATGAAAACT